AGGGCGCAGTAATATAAAATGTGGGTGTGAGGGAGCTGGAAGGATAGCAGGCTGTGGTCAGAGAACAGGATAAATAAATTTAAGATTTCTATTGTGGAAAATTTGGGGGAATGTTAAAATACAGTGCAAGTGAAAGGCACTGGAGTTGAGGAGCTAAGGTACTAAAAAGTCAAGAGTATTAGTCACCCTACTGAAAATGCTTAACTCCTTGACTGAATGTCTTTTAAGATTTTAAGTTCTACAAGTGCAGAGATAATCTTTTGTGTTCCACATCAGCCCAGTGCTGATCACATCACGGATGCTTAGGTATTTCTCGAATATAAGTACATTGAAAGTCAAAGTTCAAACATTAAAATCATGCAGAAGTGGCAATGATCACAATAATGAAATAAGTAAGATGTAAGTGGAGGACTCCAACTGACTTGTCCAATAATGATTTACGCAGTTTAATTGAACAGTATTAAGAATTCTGATAAAGGATTAATTTTTCAGATTGGTGGCCAAATCCCAATTTAGGGGAAAGGGGTGGGTGGAAGAGGTATCAATATTTCCTAGACTTACTTTACTTTTATCTAAAAACAAAGTAATGGCCAATAGAGCCTTTGGACGCTTTATTATAGACAAGTACACCTTGTTTTATGTAAGATATAGGTCCTCATAACTTGGTTATAAACACTTTTTACAGTGGGCCCTATTACACACTTTGGGGAAATTTGTTATTTAAAAGAACTCTAAATCCTGGCTGGTTTTGTCTCAGTGTTCAGAGCATCGGCCCACAGACCTAAGGGTCTCAGTTCGATTCCAGGTCAATGGCAGGTACATGGGTTGCAGGTCTGATGCCCCATCCAGTTGGGGTCCTGTGGGAGGCAACTAATTAATGCATCTCTTTCACACTGATGGTTTTCTCCCTCCCTCCCCTCCTTTCCACCCACTCTATCTAAAAATCAATGGAAAAATATCCTCAGGTGAGGATTAAAAAAATAATAATAGTAAAAGAACTCTAAGATTATGCTTTTAATAAAGACAAAAATTAAAACTTCATTTGATATGGAAGTGGTATTTTTTAAGCAGACATAACTGTTTACAGAGTATATAGATATACACACGCACATACACACATATATATAGGGTGTCTCAAAAAATGTATACACAAAAATAGTATCATTATAAAGCTAGTGTTTATTAAAATTTTCATTTCATTTTTCAAAATGTAATAAAATCTACAGATAACCCTATATACATTTTTGGGGGACATCATGTATAAGCACATATGTATACTACATATACTATAGTATAGTTGTATATATAGTATATAGTTATGCTTTTACTTGTCTATTGCCCATTTTCTGCATTTGTTTCTATTTCTCATTTCTCCTACTTAGTCTAATTCTGAGAAAAAATCATTTTTCCACTACATAATTTTTCCACTGACAGATTCAAATATCGAGCCTGGAAAGAAAAAGGAGTGAAGTATGTTTAATCCTCTCTGCCCCCAACACTTCTATTCCTTTCTTTTCAGCTTTTCTTATCAGAGACTCCATTCTGGAGTTTTGCTAATACCCAAGAGAGGACAAAGTTATGACACAGCTATTGTCAGTCCAGCTCTGCAGTAAGCAATGTCCCCACACAAGTCTGTTCCTCCCTACCACACTAATATATACATATATAGTTGTACATGTAAGATATATTTGTATCTATGTACACAAATATATCGTACATATATACACACTTTTTTTTTGACCAACAATGCTTCCTAAGTAGAGTGGAACCTACAAAATGAGACCTTTGATTCTTCTAGAAACTTTGTTGGATTTTAATATAGAAAGATGGGCCTGGAGTGACCTTTCACCCCATAAGCAGGAAAAAGTTAAACGTCTCTGCATAATAAAATAAAAAAAGACTTGGGTTTTTTTTGGGGGGGGGGTGCAATCAGAAAGGAGAGAAAGATGAAAGGGAGAAAGGTACAGAACCAACCAGATTATATGAGCCTGGAGTTCCCGTGATGGTGGTCAAATGCATTTTAGAGATAGAGACAGGTGCCTAATAGTTTAAACATCAACACTCCTGGCACTGGTATAGCATAAACTTCTCTGCCTCCCCTTTCCCCAAATCTTCCGTAAACCTTACCACACCCACAAAGGCTTTAGTGAACTTTTTTCTTTCTTTCCATTCCTAGCTGCTGTTGGACACATCTATGCAACAAGTTCATCACAAACATCTCAACCATCCTTTAGCACCTTATTGGGTTGGTCCAAAACTAATTTATCTTCCCTTCCCCACTCCTACAATCAACTGTTTTTGTTTTGTTTTGTTTTTTAATTGATTTTTTAGAGAGAGGGAGAGAGACAGAAACATCAATGAGAGAAGCATCAACATCTATCATCTGCCTTCTGCATGCCCCCTACTAGGGGTTGAACCCAAAACCCAGGCATGTGCCCTGACAGGGAATCGAACCAGTGACCTCTTAGTGCACAGGTCAATGCTCAACTACTGAGCCACACTAGCCAGGCACCATCAACTGTTTTTAACTGCTCCTTCTCATATCTTCTAACATTCCATTGCCTCATTAATGCCATCACAAAAGGAACAACTAATATTTATTGAGCACTTGTAATGTGCTAGGTACTCTGCCAAGAGCATGACATGCATAATTTCATTTGATCCTCAAACCCTACTAAACAGGTATTGTGATTATTTCTGAAACATTAGGAAATCAAAGCTCAGTCAAGATGGTAATTCTAAGGGTAACTGATGGAATTTAACCCCTGTTCTGATTCCACAGCAAGTTTAACCAGTACACTCCAATGTCTCTAGTCAAAAAATCTAGGAATCATCTCTCTCACTAATCATATTGAGTCACTTACCTAATCCAACCATTATACCTCTTAAATGCCACACCATTTATACTTCCACTTCCTTCACACATAAGAATAACTCACATCTACCACGTCTTTACCATGTACAAAACATTATTCTATGTGCTACACATGTTTTTCCAAGTTTCATCCCCCAAACCTATGAAATGAGGAACCTAAGGGAAAAAAAGACATTAGACAGTGACTGATAGAGTCAGATTCAAACTCAAACAATGTGAATAGAGAAGCCCTGAGCACCGCCTATGATTTAACAGCTCCTACTTTGTCTCTCTACTTCCCATCTGGACTCCACCATCCTCCAGACTGCTGCAGATATCTTTCTGGAATGCAAATGTCATCATGACATTCTCCTGATTAAAGCAAGTCCAATTTTCTTAATTTGGCAGACAAAATTCTTCATGTTTCTTTTCAAGTCAGTTCAATAAATATTTGAGTGTCTACTCTGAGCAAGACAAAGTGCTAAGTGCTCTGAAATGAGTAATACACCTGCCCCTAACTGCTACTCCAACCCCAGACACTGTGTGCTTTAGCCAGAGTAACTATATGCAAAACTCATAATGCAACACCCTACATGTTAGTCCCTCTGCTCAGAATGTACCTGTCAAAATCCCACACCAATCGTAAGTGGGGTTTTGCCTATGTGAGGCCTTCCCTAACAAACTCCAGGCAGAAATGCTTCCTCTCTTAAGTTCCCATAGCATTTTGCTCAAATTACTTTCAAGCAGCCAGTGGAATAGAGGTATGGATCAGCTTCCAAATGAGACTATAATAACTCAGGGCAAAAGCTGACTCCTGCCATCAATGCCTGGCATGCAGTAGGCACTCTATCATTTGCTGAATGAATAAATAATGAAAACTATCTAACTTGATGAGGAAAGGAGAGGAACAAGATTCAGAATTATGAATGTTAACACACAACTGGGCAAAAGTAATAGTGTTATTCTACTTTGGTTCTGATTTGGCCTACATTTTACCCCTATGGGAAAACTCACATGTGTGACTTGGACAAACTAAAAAGGCAAAACTTTGCTGTTCACTGCTTAAAGCTTTGACAGGCCAAAAGATACTAGATCAAAGTCTATTTCTGAAGGGGTATGGAGATGGAAATCAAATCAATCAAGGTAAATAAAACTGAACTACTGAGGTCTAACTTCATCAGTGTTGCGTCACAGTGCATGCAAAAAAAATAAATAAATAAATAAAGACCAAAATCTGTCCTGGGAATGAAGGCCAATTTACAAATAAGTACTACTCTGCAAGAATGGGACATTCTTCAAGTGCAGGCAAGTTCCCATACATCGGAGCTCGTCACTGCTTTTCAGTCAACTTCGTTTCTTGTTTGTGTGATTTAACAAGAAACATCTACACAGTTAAGCCCAGCCCATGCATGAGTGTACAGCAGCCCCTGGCAGATACGGGTGTCTTGATTCAGAAGAAACAATACACATAAGTTCAAAATCCTTCGCCTAAGATGCCATAAAGCTTTGCAAAGCGAGCGATCTGTTTCCTGAATGGTGCTTTGTGTGCAACTGCTTCCAAATCAAGTTCCCTATTTTGAAATCCCCTTTTCCCCCGTCGAAGATGTTAAATCTCTCTAGCACCTTCTCCTGCCTAAAGAGTAAGGTGAGATTTACAGGCAACAGGCTGGGTTGGAAGGTATGGTCTCTTGCCATTTCTTTCCAGGGGAACAAGACCCGATGCAAGGCAGCCAGGGCCACTGTCACTCACGAAAACATATTCACAGGAAAGAACTCATCCCCACATCTCCCCTCCCTAAAAAAACAAACGACGCAAAGATCAGCAACCCCGCGGACAGAACCACCAAATGGTAACAGCCGGGGGCCGCCCGCCTCTCCCAGGCGCCTGCCGGGCGGCGGGCACTGGGCGCAAGGCAGCTGGTCCCTTCCTCCCCGGACAAGCGCGCCCAGCCCCACACGGTCCACGTTCCCCCGCAGCCGGGACTAGCGAGGACGAGAGCTGTGGAGAACCAGCCGCTGCGGCGCCGCTCCGGCTGCCTCCCGGGCGCAGCGCTGCCCCACACCCCACCGACGCCTGCACCTGAGGCGGCTGTCCGGGACCCGGTGGGAGGGCACGGAGCGACGCGGTCCAGATAAAGTTACTCACCGGGAAAGCGCGGCTGTCCGGGGCGCGCACCGGCTCCCGGCGCCGCAGCGCAGCGCCAGCTCAGCTCTCCTGGGCCCGCTGAGGGAGCCGGGAGCGAGGGGGCCTCCGCTTGGCCGGGAATCGCTGCCGCCGCCGCCGCCGCCGCCGCTGCAGATTTCCTGGCAAGAAGCAAACTCTGGCCAAGACTTCACTTCTCAACCGCCCCTGCTGCCTTCCCGGGGGCAAGCGCCAGGGCCCAGCCGCCCAACCCGACACGCACCTGGACCAATCGGCGGTAGAATAGGGTGGGAGGGGGCGGGACAGAGAGCTGATCCGCCTATCCGAGGGCTCAGAAGGCGGGTCAGGCCGTGGCCGTCACTCCCGGGTTAGAGTGAGCCCACTCCACCCCGCGCCGCCTACCCTCCCCCACCTGCTCTCGCCAGGGTTCTCTGGGTTACCTCGCAGACTAGCTCGAGAAGTGTCTCTGCGCTCCCCGCCGACGGCCGCGAGGGGCATGGAACAGCGCGGGGAGGCAGTGAATATCTAGGGAAATCGGGGGAGAACAGGTCACACAGGAAAGCAGAAATATAGGTGTGCTGGGCGAAGAGACAACTGGGGTAGGGTGGTAGGGACAGGGGTTGGCCGGGAGGTGGAGGGTGAGGGGAGCAGGAGAGCGAAGCGAAGAAGACCTGGGGGGACCGAGAGAGGAGAGGTACGCAGGTAGAAGGGGACAGAGAGCGAGTCTGGGTGGAAAGGTTGCAGAGGCGGGGGCGGGGTAACCCGAGAATAAAGGTGAGGAGGTTGAAGAAGCCAAAAGGGTAAAGGGAAAAAGTAAGTCCAAAGCGAGGGAGGACGTACTCCAGGGGTAGAAAAGATCCTAGGAGAGAAAGGATGGTAGGAAAAGTTTCCTTCTGGACTCACTCTTCCCCCCAAAAAATCAAGACAACGCTTGTCCTTTGACCCAGCTGAGATGTGCAAAGATCCTCGATGAGACAAATATCGTCTTAAACCTTTCCAATTCTTTTGTGAAATCTACCAAGGTGTATTTAACAACTGTAGTTTAAGCCTGTCGTCCCATGAAAGCCCCCTCAAGAACCAACGTCCTGCGTGGGAGTAACACTGTCCCCCGTAGGTCTAACAGCAAGTCAAAAAGAAGCCGGATTTGGGCACTAAGAAGGAAGGTGATTTGCTACACCTGGGGTAAGGTGCCAAGGGCTGAACTCAAGCGCCCACAAGCCCATCTCGGCCCCGGGAGTGGGGCGGGAGCCCGACCCCACCTGTCCCCGCTAGCTCCTCAAGCGGACTTGCTGCAGAAGCCCCAGGTGAACCCCTGGGGCCTAGCCACCGCCCTCCGCGCGCCGGGGGCGGGGTCTGTGGGCGGAGCCTCTAAGCCCCGCCCAGTGGACGGGCCCTGTGGCGCCGCTGCGGCTCCACCTCCCTTCTTCCGTCTTCCGCTCTATCCGTCGGCGGTTCCTTCCTTCCTGCTTCGTTCGCACGTTTCGCGATATGGGAAAGAGCGTCCAGTCAACCAGCACCACCTGAGGATCCCGGAAGCCGCCCCCGCCATGGAAGAGGACCAAGAGCTGGAGAGGTAACGGCCGAGGAGGCGGGAGAGTGGAGGGAGGGGGCGGGAGGAGCGGGCCGCTCCCTGCACCGGAGCCAGCGGCCGAGGAGTGGCCCGCGGCCCGCCGGGGCCTCAGCCTCTGCGTCCGGGCCTGACTGAGAAGACGGGACGGGAGGGAAATGGGCGCCTGGGCTGTAGAAAGGGCTCCGACTGGAAAAAGAGAGGAGAGGAGACAGGGATGTATTTAAATAGAGACTCTCGGAACATTAGATGCCAAGAAGGGAAGACAAGTTGTGAGAAATCCCCAAACTGCCCATCCCCAATTAGAACAGCTAACGTGTAAAATCACGGAGCAGGCCACTGTCGCCAATGATATTGGTGTATTCAGTCAGGCCTAAGTCCCTCCTTTACGCTCTGAGTTCTGTTTCTCCTTCCCACATAATTGCCTCTTCTCAGACTTTCCATTCATGTTTCTTTATCTCCTCCAAATGGAAGCCATAGTTGGGCCTGCACGATGATCATCTGTATCTCTAATCTTGTAATAATCTGTGTTTCTCTACGCCTTCCAACTCCCTTTTCATCCTCTAGCAGGGCCACTCTATTCTAATCCTATCTTTACTTGCGATTCCATTAAAAGAATATTTTAGCATACATTTAATTTGTTTTTTAAGGCAACTCCCCTGTGGCCATGTAGACGGTCAAATGGAGTAGGGAGAAACTGAGACAGGAAATTAGGTATTTATTGTAGACTTTGTAGAAGCAGGAAAATAAGGGGCTAATGCTAATGGTTTTGTGTAATTGGAATGTATTAGAGTATTAATGTGTTGCAATTGTGATGTAGTAAATGAAAAAAAGCTAGCTTCAAAACCATATTCAGTATGATCTCATTTTTATAAAAAATATGTGTGTAGAAAAATGTCTGGATTGAAGACCTCAATGGCTGAAGGCGAGAGGAAGACAGCCCTGGAAATGGTCCAGGCAGCTGGAACAGATAGACACTGTGTGACATTTGTTTTGCATGAGGAGGACCATACCCTAGGAAATTCTCTTCGTTACATGATCATGAAGAACCCGGAAGTGGAATTTTGTGGATACACTACAACCCATCCTTCAGAGAGTAAAATTAATTTACGCATTCAGACTCGAGGTGGTCTTCCAGCTGTTGAGCCATTTCAGAGAGGCCTGAATGAGCTCATGAATGTCTGCCAACATGTGCTTGACAAGTTTGAGGCCAGCATAAAGGAATATAAGGACCAAAAAGCAAGCAGAAATGAATCCTCATTCTAGTCCCTTGTGCACTATACAGGGAGGAACATTCTCTAGGTTGGTCTCTTCGTGATCTTGTAAAACTCAGAAATAGAAGTTTGTGGTTACTACATGATCTGTCATTCAGAAAGGTGTGATTCTAGCTATTAACCCATTACTCCTGTTGGAATCCCTGCAAGAACCTTTGTATTCTTCAAATAAATTCCCTCTTTAAACTAATTTGAGTGGTTTCTGTTCCTTATTCCTCAAGTTGACTATTTTAGGGGTTTTCATGTTTTGTTTTGTTTTTTTATTATTTTAATTGAGCCAACATTGAAGGTGAAGAAACTATGAGAAAATCAGGGGCCTTGACAAGGACTTTTATCAAGGGAATTAAAAGAAATATGCATTCATGGCTGTTATTGGGGGTGATAGAGATGTGCAATAGATCATGACCCCAGGTAGACTGGTTAATTTTGGGGGAGGAAAAAAAGGAAAGCAGGAAAGAAAGATAGGAGGGTGGGGAGGACTTGATCTCTTGCTACATGTTTTTTAGTAATTCATGAGAAAATCCATCCCTTGCTGTGATTGGTAGATTGGGCAAGGGTAGGGAATAGTTTGAAAGAATTGTGAGAATTCCGATTTCATATGAGAATTTTAAGTAGTATCAAGCTCCATCTTTGTGGTATTATAGGCTAGATACCACTTTATTGCTTCAATTTCAGGACACTAATAGAGAGGGAGATTCCTGGATGACCAGATAACCTTTTTAGTTTTTTACGCAGGTATATAAGTATAGCCCAAATTTAATAAAACAAGCAGTATTTGAAAAAAAGGACAGGGAAAAGGGAAATTCCACATGGGGAAATTGATTTTTTTTTTTTTTAACTTAAGATATTAGTGAATCACATTGAAGAGCTGACCTATTTACCTCTTCAATCTTGTCTTTCATATCTATCCTACTTCAATTTGACTCTTAATTTACCCTAAATGTCTGTCAATCTTTGAACCTGAGCACCCCACACCCCAATGCTCTATGCTTTGGAGTCTTTGTTTATGCTATTCCCTCTTCCTGAAGGACTCTTACTTCTGTGCCATACTATAGTGCTTATGTTGTCTACTGTTATACTAACTTGCAGCACAAAGCCTAATAGGTAGTGGACCATTAGTAAATACCAAATGAATCCATGTAGCTAGTTATGGTGTGTAGCCTTTTATTCACTTATATCAGACCTCTTCCACTGGCCTGCCACAGAACTTGCATTTCCTACATGCAGTCAACTTCTTTAGATAAATGTATTCCTGTATTTATTGAACACCTAGCATATACCAGGCCCTGGGATAGATAGCTCGTGGATGAGACACAAGTCTTGTTCTAATAGAGCATACATTATAAAAGGAGTGAAAATTTTAAATTGTATTTGTGAGGGGGGGAAAAAGAACATGAGAGGAGAATCTGCTTTAGGTATGGAAGTCAGTGGAGATCTTCCAGAGATTACGGAAGAGAAGGAACTAGTGCGCAAAGGAGTGAAAATGCATTCTATGAGAATAGTATATATCTGCAGCATGGTAATCAAGGAGGAGAAGGGCCTGTCCTGTGGGTTCAATGGGAAGAAGAGCTGGGGTGGTAAGGAGTTGGGTTTTAAGTACAATGGGAATGACATCTGAATGCTTTGATTACGGTGTGGGGAAATGAATTTGTCGAGAGGCCAGAGAAGAAGCAGAAACGAAGTGTTGGTGTGGCATGGAAGGGCAGTAAACTAGTGATGGAGAAAAGAGGGTGGATTTGAGATATATTTTTGAACCACGTTTGTACAGAATTGGTAGACCTCTGGAATTGAATGTGGAAGGTGAGGAAACAAAAAGATGACTTATACCTAGATTTGGGGCCAAATTACTGAAATGGGAAGCATAAGAGGGAAAATAGGTTGAGAAGTGGAGAAGGTGGTTAAACTCAAAAGTTTCATTCTGAATGAACAGGGTAGATAGTAGATATGTGAGTTTGAAGCTGTGAAAGAACTCTAATGAAGGTAGAGATTTACTTAGTTCTTCCATAAAGGTGACAGAGAGCCATAAAAACGAGTGTGGCAAAGAAGTGGGCCCAAGACCAAGCCCTGGGCCTGCTTAGTGTTTAAAGTTTGGATAGAACCCGGCCGGTGTGTCTCAGTGGATTGAGCATCCCCCCATGGACTGAGAGGTCCTGGTTCCCTTCCCAGTCAAGGCACGTGCCCAGGGCTCAATCCCCACTAGAGGAATGTGCAGGAAGCAATCGATTGATGTATCTCTCATATCAATGTTTCTCTCTAAGAATCAATAAAAACGTATTTTAAAAATTAATTTAAAAAAGTTTGCATAGAGAAGGAACAACCAGTGAGGTAGTAGGAAAGTCTGTAGAAAGAGTTGTGGAAGCCAAGGCTCTCACAGAAGGAGAATGATGTTGAATGAGTTGAACACAAGGCTGGAAAAGTATTGATTGGATTTAACAGGGAGGTTATTGGGCAGCGGGCAGCATTAGTTGAGTGTCTAAGAAGACTAGACATTAACACTCATTGTACAGAACAATGACTTTTTTTAGGTTTTCCCATAAAGAAAATATACTGCAAGGCATTGGAAAGCTAAATGTAAGTGGCAGCAGGGATGAGGAAAGATCAAAGTCATGGAGCAAGGATAGAGAATAATTTCCTAGGGTGATGGTAAGAGATTCTGGAAAACCAAAGTCAATGTAAGGAAATTAGCCCTTGAAGATGTAAGGAAGTCCTAAAGGGATAAATGGGAAAGGATCAAAAACTTCTTGTTTTTTCTAAAATTTTGCCAATAAGTAGTCATGTAGAGATGATAAATAGAATTATTTGCATGGAGTTTTAATACCTCTGAATCAAGATCTGTCAGGAGATGAAAGCAAAGTTCAATTAGTGGACATAGAGGTATAGAATGATGATAGTAGACTGAAGTGATTAGTAACAGTACATATGGAAAATACACCCAGTGGTGACCGCTCACTGCATCTCATGGCTTCATTGCTCCTAAAAAGATTTATTATCACTGATCATGTGGCATGCTGTCTTCAATCTGTGTACAGGATTGTCATAAACTCACAGGTTCATACAAAAGGTAGGTTAGTGAAGGGAAAAAACTGAGGGTAGGACAGTCAGAATAACCAGGAGTCATGTATATGTGAAAGAAATTTTTGCATAAAGTCAGCAAGAACCTGTGGAAATACTGAATTGGTCTATGAAAGGATGAGGGTTATATGAATAATATTTATATAAAATAACATGATCAGTATCTGACTTGCTCTCTAACAGCATTTCATTATAAATAAACTAGTATTAATGATTCAAGATCAGAAATTTTGTTTAGCTATAAAGTACTCTGCCTTTTAAGAAGCCAGTTATTAAAGTGATTACATAGTAAATGCTTTTAATATATAATAATTTGAGTGGTTACCTAGCACTTTACATTTTCAAAGCACTTTGCAAACTATTTATAAATTGCATATAGCTATAACATCTAATGCTCTAATTAGTTGGTATAACACACAGGTGTCTACATAAAAAGTTCATTCAGTACCACTCTGACCCAAAGAGTGTCTTCTATTTTAGGAAATATGAAAGCTTTTCAAGTTCTATGGCCCACCATTCCCTATCCTTTTGTTTCCTTTAAACATGTTATTAAGATTGTAGTTAGGTCAGTGTGGCTCAGTGGTTAGGATGTCGGCCTGCACACCAAAGGATCTGGGTTTGATTCTCGGTCAAGGGCATGTGCCTGGGTTGCAGGAGGCTTGTGTGAGAGGAAACCAGTCAATGTCTCTCTCTCTCTTTCTTTCTCTCCCCCCCCCCATCTCTTCCATTCTCTCTAAAAATCAATGGGAAAAATAATATCCTTGGGTGAGGATTAACAAAGAAGATTATAGCTAGTCTCCAGATCACTAGACAAAAGTCATCATTTTTGGTTAGCTTAATTTTAGAGTCAAAGGCAATCTCTGTAATATCCCTCCAACTGGGCTCCTAGGAAGCTCCTTGGAAGTTTACCCAAGTCCACTAGACTGCTTTCAAAAGATCCCAAAATATCCCTTTTGAGCTCAAGTTTTAAATGTTGGTTGTTTTTCTTTTACTTATTTTTGTTTATTTGTTTGTTGCTATTTTAAACTTTATAACTATCCCAGTTTGGTTAATGTGTGGTCTGTATTTTTTTTTCCATAATGACATTTCTTCTGAACCTACGTTGGATCTCATACAACAAAATATGGACATAGTAGTGGCACAGTCCTGAGAAATGTTGGAGATAAGAGAATACAGTGTGGATCTGTCCTAAAAAGCCCTATGTGGTTTTGGAGAGAAGACAGTTGTACACATGAAAAAGAAAACCTCATTTATGATGAAGGGCCCTAATGTTCAGTGTAGAGTATTATGTACTGAACACAGAATGGAATCAGAGAGAGAGAGAAAGAGACACTATTTAAGCAATAATTGTTTCATGAGTACCCCCTTGGTCAGCCACTGTGCTAGGCACTGGAGATAGCAAACAAGATGGGCATACTCTGCATTCTAGTTACTTGTGGAATGAAGTTGGCAGGCTTGTAAAATAGTGTTCTAGGATCAATTGTTTTCTCTTTCCCAGTGTAAAGAAGCCATTAAAGATTCTTGAGCTGGGAAATGCCATAAAGGTTTTGTTTGTTTTTTGTCGCATGTCCATGTAGAATGGATGAATGGAAGAAAACACGGGGAGACAGTCGAGTTAAGGGGCATTTGTAACAGTCTAGGTGTAATATAAGGAGGCAGAATTGTAGGAATGAAAGTAAAAGGGTGAATACCAAAAGCTAAAAAAGAATGAAAATAACTTGGAGACAGTTTCTGTATAAAGTTAAAGGTAACACAAGGATTGAAAATGACCCCATACCCATGTCTTTGTCCCCTTTGTTTTCCCATTACCCCCTCACAACCAAAGCGAGAGTGGTGGGATTTACCCATCTCATTCCCAACCTGTCCTTGCTAATGGGAGCCCGTGGGTGCAACCACCCTACTCTCCTTCCCTCACCCATGTCAGAAGAATTTACATCTTCAACAAGGACATGAATCCAGGGCTTCAGATGTGAGAATGGGATGGGGAGAGGCAGTCAGGGCAGTAAGCTGACAGGCTCTTACTGCTCTCTGCCTTCATCAAGTTCACCAAGTTGTTCTCCTCAAAGAACATTTCATTCATTTATTCATTCCATAAATGTTATTGAGCACATATTTTATGCAAGCACATTTAGGGATATAGCAAAGAACAAGTTGTCCACATGCAGTTTATTTTGTAATGGCAGAGATAGAAATAAATGCATAAATGTACAATGTAATTTAAGGTATCCATATAAATGGGAAGTAAAAGAATGATGGGTGTGAGAAGGCACTGAGAGATTGAGTAGTTAAGGAAGGCCTTTCTGAAGAGGTGACAATTGAACAGAAATAACAGACAGACCAAGGATAAAGGAGAATATGCC